GGTAAATGTCGGAATGATGTCCGGATCAGACGCGCCGGGTTTGATGGCAGTTTGTTCGCTAGTTACCGTTTGTTGTGGGGAGCTGATGAAGAGGCTGGCTCAGGGCGATCAGCGCGAGCGATCACTGAGGAACGAACCAGTCACCTGCCTGTGCCACCACTTCGGAATGACTTTCACTGATTAAATTATGTTGTTGTCGCTGAGCGCATGTCACCCATGTTAACGAGCAAGACCTTTCGTCGAGCGGTTCAATGTCGAAGTTCATGTCATTGATCGATGAGACCGATCAATTTGACATCCATGGTACCTCAACGCGATTCATTCGTTCATCCTTCGGCGGTTTCTTTGCCGAGCTGGGTGGATCGCTCTCGGCTCATGTATTGCTTATGTATTCTATTCCTTTATGCAAGTCATCTACCACGGATCGACATCAGGAAATGTGGGATGCTGGCTATGTCTTTTTGTCATGATAGAACGGCTGTGGTACTTTAGAAGTCGCACATGGACATGCCTATTGCCTAATGAGCAGCTCCGTTCATTTGTACGTCAATAAGACAAGACCTTCTAGGGATGCAACAGAAAGTAAGGGCTATATAGCATGTATCTCGTAAACTTCACACTTTTTGGGAAACAGCACGATTAGTCAATTGCAATCCACCGACTCGGCCTTTTTACATCTTTTTTTGTACACCTTTTTATGTGAACAGCTTCGACGGGTGGTATGCCAACTTCTTCGCCTAAAAACACAAGGTTTGTGCATGATTCACTGCCATTCATTTTCATTGTGTCTTGACAGAGACGTATTGTTAGGTGCACAAGAAGTAATATCAACGCGTGCCACTGCACACGAAAATGCCGACAGAAATGGAACTAAAATCGGTCACAGGAAGCGATCAGTATCAGCAGCTAAATGTGGCATTACTAATGCTCACCATTTCCGTGCAGTTAGCTTGAAATAATCACATCCGTTGCATGAGCCAACTTTGCTAAATGGCCTTACGTGACTCAAAGGACACCTGAAAGCCAACAAAAACTTCATATCAATTTTTCCAGCTGGCAAAACATCACCCAGACCACCCGTCATAAGTCCGGCCGACAATGGGCGACCACGTGCTCCGGTAACTTCAGACAATGACTGGCAGTTGAGAGAAGGGATGTCGTAGAACGATGTGGCCACTGGTTTCAGTTGATAGATGAATGGAACGTCACGGCGGTCATGGCTGACGGACGGAAGGGTGCCACCTGCCCCCCGCTGGCACGCGCAGGGTCATACAGTCACGATGAGCGAGTTCAGTCACCAGTCACGGTAAAAAAAGAACTGGGGAAGCGCTTTGTTGAGGGTGATTCGAGCTGAACGGTATGGGGAGCGCAAAAACCTAATTTGAGGCAGGACACTTCATCGTCATAAAAGAAAACCTACATTACTTCAGAAACTGATTAAACGTCTCATTCTCAGCTTCAGTTGTGGCATGGGCGGGAAGCGCTAGTCTCTTATCCTCAGTCACGGCTTATTAGCAGCCTAACAGGGCACAAACATTCTCCTGGCTCGAGCGCCCCTGGCAGTTCCCTGGCCGCACCGCGACCCCAAATGAGTGCAGCGCGCGCGACCGCCTGCGGTGACCCAGGGGCGTGGCGCCGCCTCAGAGGTCGCCCGAGGTCACAGCCAAGGATATCCAGATCCGGCGATACGTCGACAGGAACAGATATATCGCGAAATTAGTCGGTGACCGTGAAGGTTCCATGCGCTGATGCATAAGCGTAGACGTGGAAACGCATGCTTGACCTGCATACTGTTTCGCATGAGGTAACGGCGTGGGTTAACTGGAGGTAGAGTCAGCCATGGAATGAGAGAAAGTGTGGCTAACGCTTCCTTATCAGGCAGTGGTACCGTTTCTTTAGGCACGCTTTTATAACGGCGCTCAGCTGGATTAACTCGACCACCCGCATAGAAAACCAGCGCCTCCATGCGCCTGGTCACGGGTTTCGGTGACAACGGGACCAGTCTTTTGCCTCCCTTGCCCTGTCATCGCCTCATGGTTCCAGCACCTGATCTGACACAAGCGCAGCTCGCCTCAGCTCTCTGAGGCAGCGACCACCGCGCTCGGTCGACCGGCCCCATGTGTCGTTAATTACCGCACAAGGGCACTCCAGCGCGTGTAGCCGGGGGCACCGGACCTGGCGCGCTCAGAAGCGATGGATAGCGAGTGAGCCAGGCTCATGCGCGGCGCTCCATGACGCGAGGCCGGTCTGACATGCGTAGCGAGCTTATCAGCTCGTTGAAGTAATGAGTGTAGACTGTAGGTAGGTGCGCGCTCATGACAGGGCCGTGGCAACTACCGAGGCGGCTCAAAGTGCGCTCATTACCGAGGTCAGTGAAAGGTGACCGGTCGGCCGATAGGGGCTAGCATAAACCAATTACATGGGCTCAGAGCTGTCCGCATGGTCCCCATAGTCGTAGGATCTGGTAATGTTGATAGCGCCAATAAAAAGCTTTGTTTTGAAGTTGTACATGTAGCTGATTTAGCTGATGTAAGGATAGTCAACGTCTTGATTCCAAATATAAAACATAGCGATGAATAACCGCAAAGCGAGTGATTTTCTCACCTTTTCTATCAAAGAAATCGCAAGAATGCTGTAACCTGACGCACGCTGGCTGTGCGCACAGGTAAGCTGCACCTCAAATACGCTCCAGTTTCGGGGAAGGGAAGAAAGTTTACTTTAGCATGTGAAACTGATCTCTGCCGCGGGCCAGCACGCGAGCTTTCTGTTTCAGTGGCCTCCCGCGGCTAGCGATCGGAGGTGGATAGTAGCGCCAAATTTCTCCCGCCCTGCACACTATCGCGAAAAATAGCTCGCAGGCCGCAGCCCGCCCCTCTGGCGCTTGCAGTGGTTAGACGCTTCCCCGCAACTCGATAGTTCAGCTGACCATAGTCATGTCTTCGAGCAACACCTGCAGGTTCAAAGGAAGTGAGTGTCGCACGTAAATTGAGACTCGTGGATTGAGGAAACGGCGCATAAGGCAGATAAGGCTCTCAGGTAGCTGTCGGGAAAGCCTCACGATAATATGCTCCGCCTCCATCACTGATGTGATATTTCAAGAATCATCTCATTTGCCTCCACGAACTCTCAGCTTTGTCTGCTCTTCGAACATACCAATTCGTCACCGGGCTGGCCCGAGACGGCGGCGGTGGCGACGCGGTCACGGCGGCTGTGGCGCGGGTGCGGCGTCGGTGGCGCGGTGCACGACGCTCCCAGCGCGGCGGCGGCGCGTCGTGTTGGCCCAGCGCGCCGATAACGCCGCCGCGCGGCGCGTGACAGATAGCGCCGCCGGCGCCGGCCCGACGACAGCTGCAGTGGTGCTGCGGGGCGCAGGGCGAGTGGCAGGAGCAGAAGGTGATCCAGGGGTGCACGCAGGTCAGCCGGAGAGGCCAACAGGTCACCATGGCGGCTAGGATACCGCCGCCGGCGTCACCGAGGCTGGTAAGGACTTCGTGGTCGGACTCGGCGTGCGGTGACGCTCGAGGTTTGCTGTGACTGCAGTCCAACGTTGACAGCAGCTGCATGTCGATTGACAGTAACCCGATAACTATGACTCATAAGTGCGCTAAAATCAGTGAACGCTTGTAAACATTAGATAAGTTACAGAATAATTGTGCAGCTGCGTAAAGTGTGGTTTATTGGTAGAATCCTGCCTGTCATCTGCTAGAAAGTTTGTCTATCTAACTGGATTCTGTCATACTTGTGTCTGACTTTCTAGATGCACAGCAAACTTCTAGGAACCTTGCAGTTGTTAGAAGGCTGCAGACGGGATATTTTGCCCAATAAGTAAAAGTGGCAACTGTCTTGGGGTCTTGACCTCTGAAACGCATTCAGCCCGAAGCCTATACCAAGCACGAATAACTTGGCCGGCTGTATCGATCCATCAATTCTTCGAAGCCTGAACCGTGTTAGGTAACCGCCGAAGGGGATGTCTCTCACCTGATGAGAACCGTCCCTTTCGGTAAATTTTCGTCATGCTCGCCGGCGATCATCCACCTACAAGGGACCCCAGTCTCGAGCTTTAGCCATGACGGACGTTATTGATGCATTACCACTGTGACCTCTGGTCATGGAAGCAATCGGCGTCAGATGGATAGTCTGCGAGCTGCCTCGGCCCGACATTGGGCCAAAGATCTCCGATTAGAGATGAACGATCATGCCGCCGCTGTCATAACACAGGCCGCATTTCCACCTTGGCCACGTCTGACCTTGGCTTAGACAAATAACCACACATTATCGATGAGCTCAAAGCATTAAATTCCCATCGCGGGCCGTTGAGATCTACATGTAATCTACAGCCAGACTCCCCAATGGTTTGGGGAGAACCTATTCCCAACTTAGCAAAGGTGTCATAATTATCGGCTACGAAGTAACTAAAAACGAGGTGACTTCGTCACTATTTATTGGCTTTATCAAGTTTCTCGTGACGATGTAACGACTCATGCATTTTATCAGCCACCTTCGTGACGTTGATGACGTCTCGTTCACGACTTCAGCATTCCTGAATCACCTTCTCTGTAGACTGTATACAGTGTATACAGTTATCACCACATCCGTTTCCTGTATGGGTGGGTCGGAGATTTTCGGCCAGTGCTGCTCTGAAGAGCTGACCCAGTGCGGTGTGATAAATGAACGTCGGACGCTCCTTCTCTGAGCTCGTGAGAGCAGATAGGCGCCCAGAGAAGGCGGAACACATCTCCAACGAGCTCTCCAAAGCCGGCTCACATCCGTCTCCTCCGTTATCTGTTGACGGAGGTTACAAATGACGCTCACTGCCAACTAGTTCGAGAAACGTTAATGACGTTCCTTTGATCGATACGCTTAAAAACATATACCCATGTAGGGCTACTTGCTTTACCTATTTTTCAGGAAGACTGTCTAACTCATAAACAAACTTCGCCAAGATCATAGTCTCGTCCATACCACTCAGTCCTGGTAACATGTGTTCTTCTCTTTCACAGGACCCGCTTCACAGCATGGAGACATACAACAGCCAGGAGTACTTTGACCTCGTGAACGAGTCGCGCATGGCTCGCCGCGACTCTGACGACGTCGCCGACGATGACAACACGCCCGAAGGTAGGCAGTGGACCCTTTGCTTGCCGCCGCCTAACTCCCCAAAGACCACACTCTAGGCGCAAACAGCATACACAGAGGCGACACTTCTCCCAAAACTGGAGAGCCTGCGCCAAGCTCGTTCAGGACAAGGCCAACCTAGCTGTCCTCTTCTCATGAAATCGAGCGAAGACATCCGTGGGATGGACAGACGCGTGGCGGTCGGTCATAAATAGGCACGAACGTCGTGCATAATCAGGGAGACGATCTATGAATGACTAAAGAGAAGACCGCGGGAGAGGGAGCGACCAAGACAAGTCGTGGGGCAATAGAAGTTCGTGAGGCCCAACAACGGATCCTGTTTGTCTAACCGATGGCGAAAACGTGCCGAGTACGACGGAGATACGTCGATGTGGAGAGCGCAGTGGCAGATGGAAAGGAAGCCGAAGGGGCTGTTCTGTCAAGGTCACTAGCCGGTGCTGAGAGATGATTTAGGGTACCCGGTACAGCCACTTCAGATGCAGAAGTCTCGTAGAAACAATCAGTTCCTATCTCAGAAACAGAAAGCTGCAGGCGACTATATCGGACTCCAGAGATGGAAAAACAAATTCAAAGGACGGGTTTGTACAGTTTTCTTTCGACTACGTGTTCTTTTTGACACTAAATCATAAACAGAGTGCACCGTTGCTCTCCGCACTAAACGAGTGAAACATCAAATAGGCTTTCAACGATACCGTGCTTTGTTCCTTTTTCATGAACTATAGCATAAAACCTTTTAAACCACCAATGGCAAGTATTACCATGGTCAAATCAGAGCACACATACCCGCACGTTCGCCACCCGGCAACCCACTTGCTGCACCTCCTCCGGCAGTGAAGTCGTTCCGTCTTCCGCGGGAAATGCCACCATCGCTCGGGCCACACTGCACTGTCGCGCGAGCCCCGGCAGCGACCCCTCGTGACCTCTGTCGGCTCGTAACCCGGCGTGGGTGCGGACGGATCCCGTCCGCCTCCCTCGCTGTGCAGTGGCCAACCCAGGTCGCAGGTCACGGGTCAAGGGTCAGGAAGGTCAGACACGGGTGCGGTGTCAGTTACCATCACATCGTGCTACTGCGATGATCCCTCGTCTTACTAACAAACAGACTTGAGTTGATGCTAAGGAGGTGATGTGGGCTTCGAACTGTTTGGCCTAGGATAGGTAGAGTAGAGATGACGATATGGCGTGTGGACGTTAGGTGCTGATAAATTGTTAAACCCAAGGTGGATTGACCTGGTATAGTTTAAGAAATACCATGGGCCTAAAGTATCCCTATTGTCGCACAGCAAGATACAGCAGCGAACGGCTGCCGTGATTTGGCACCTTTCCCGTCACGACTGAACGGTTTTCGTGACGCTGGCGACGTTCACTGACCGTCACGAGGAGCCTGTGTGACGTCACAGACTGCCGAACCACAGTGCCGTTAGGCCGATCTTACGCCGAGGACGAAAAGTCACGACCGTCACTACAATTTGTTCTATTTCGAAAATAAAAGCCATCTGGTGAAGTATCGGAGCCCAGATGTCAGCGTTCAAGAGCGGAATATTTCGAAATTCAACTCGGTTTTGCCTATCATGAGCGCCGACTGTCGAAAAGGTGTTGGCAAATGTTCGACCAATGTTCAGAACGGTTTCGCTTTTTACAAAAAAAAAAAAACTTAAGGCGAACAACGCACATAAATCATGCATTCAAGCCCAATCCCCATCCCATGGCTCTATGTCATCAGCTCAAGGCTAATAAATTAGATGCATAAAGAAAAGAGTTTAGATAGCCAATATTTAAAGAACAATAAAAGATACATCACCTGTTTCAGGCGTCCCTTATATTTAGGCGACAAAGCATAACTCTATTTTCCCATCGCGTCGAGATGACAATTGCGTCACTGAATCGCGCTCAATGTGTCCCTATAACCATCGCGCTACAATCAGAGTGACGCAACGCACGCGACGGTGACACGCGAGTGGCGAGGGGAGGCGGCCGCCGTGACTGTGACGGACAACAACAATGACGCGCCACGCACAATGGTGCCGTGCTCGTCCGAAGCCGTGCTCTGATAGACACTCTAATGGCGAGCGGAGGCAATGAAGCGCTAATCCTGTCCTTCGTCCAACATGTCCGTCTACCTGTTACTGATGCTGAGGGGTGTAAACTTCGCATGGCGATAAATTGAATTAAAAACTGTATGAATACTTACATGATGCATAAACAGTCGAAATAGTTCGAGCTTAGCTTTAAATGGAAACGGTCATATCGAAATTTTATCAATTTTTTTATAACGTTGATTATAAAATCGATTCTTTTTCTACAAAGTTGATCTGCATTTCGTTATCCACGCCTTTCACTTTTCCGTCGCGACAACGAGTGGTCCCGCAAAGGCGAGCGATGCTTTTGCACGTCGCTTTCTGCGGGGTACCACGCTATCTTGCTCGGGGCAAAGGCAGCCATATCGTCAGTCATAAAACGTGCCAACAACGAACTATCGCGATCAGAAATAGCGTGCAAGACAGAGCAAGGCAGTCTTCAGTAGCCTTTGCCCTCACGAGCATTGGTATCGTTTTTTCATTGTTTAACAATAAGCACTTGCTTGGACTTGACAGCGTGCTGGCATAGCAGTAATCATTTATCAACTTCTTTCTTTACGTACTTGTATGTACACTAAATTCAGTTATAGTATCGCAATGAGGTACGAAGTAGGTTATACCTACTGAAGAGGTAGTTAAATATACCTACATATCTGCAATCAATGAATAATTGATTACATCGCTTCTCAAGTGATTATTTAATGTCGTATAGTCCAAATGACAATTCAGTACAGACTATACGTGCGCATGGTTTCAACATGCACTTTATTCGATTTGATCGTCCGCACGCAAATACCCTGGTGACCTCACGATGTGCCGTAGTAAGGTATCTGTGTCATTCTATCAGAGTTCAATCAGAGTTCGTCAATCGTCAGGGTAGTTCCCCCAAGGTCATTACAATCGTGTGGCACAGCTTGGCGCGTAACGCTTCCTAATGACACAGATAGTATATCTGCCCAAAGACTACCTGGATCAATAGCAAGGCCAATTTCGAAAAATTCAGCCGAGCGTCTCATCATGATGGAACTAGCGCTGTGTTGGAACGGATGCCCCGCTCTCAGTGGCATTTTGGAACCAAGGTCAGTGCCCAGCGCTATGGCACAAAGCATAACTTAATCACGAGATCGTCTTGACCAAGTGAACTTACTGAGGCAGTTTCTTGATCGCTAATTATTCATCTCTAAATGAAGCGACCTAACAAACAAGCATATTAGAGATTGACGAGGTAAGTGCAGAGAAAACGCCACGCTAGATAATATTTGACGAGTTAGCCTACGACTCGGCAGAACGCACGAGACGCCAGGATTCCGTTTTCTACATTTATACTATCACATAGATTTTACACTGCCCTATTTTAGTGAGCATTTCGGTCAAGAGATGTTGTCACATAAAAGGTCGTCAAGATATGAAATGCGACATATGCGGCTCATGCGGTGACACATTTGTCAAAGATGTGTTTATCAGTGGCGTTGGTTTACATTTCTTGGGCTGTCCGAATTTCGTTTGCCCACCGATAAGAGGGCATACAGTACATCGGAAAGACTGCTTTTTCTATTGTTGAAGGATCTCTCACAAATGCGATAAGATAAGCTGAATGTGCTTCCGATTGTTCGCTCTCGTCTGCGTAGTAGGCTGCTACTGATACGCTTGTCGATCGCCCCGAGCTTCCCGGTTCCTGCTCCGTCGGATGTCGCTGCGTGTTGCAACAGAGCACTTATCTGCAGTTCAATGTCGCATGCAATCTGACGGTGCTTTTACCATGAATCGCTTAGTGTGGGGCTTGTAATGGGGATTGTGTGAATATGCTGATTGGCTTAGTGTTGAGATACAAAAACGGTCATTATCAAAACATGCATTCCCATCAAGATATCTGACATGAGTTTGCACCATGCGTGAGCTGAGGGATTATGGGAAGCTTTAATCATGTCTAAATTTGTTCGCACAAATGAATCAAGATGCGTGACCAACACAGCCGAATGTTCAACAAGCACTCAAAAGTCCCTCAGTCCCAGGACACACGCATACATGACACCCCGACGATGGCTGACTTCCAACCCGCATTTACATACTCGGGCCAACGACCGCGACCGGCGTTCCCACAACAGTCCTCCGTGGCGCCAAACCTGACGGGGACGGACCCCGCCGCTAGCCACGCGCCGCGAGCCGGCAGTCTGACCTGACGGAGACGAACTACTGGCACCAGCCGTGAGCCGGCAGTCTGACCTGGCGGAGACGAACTACTGGCACCAGCCGTGAGCCGGCAGTCTGACCTGGCGGAGACGAACTACTGGCACCAGCCGTGAGCCGGCAGTCTGACCTGGCGGAGACGCACCACTGGCACCAGCCGTGAGCCGGTAGTCTGACCTGACAGAGACAGAGTGAACGGACAGTCCGATATGGCCGCGTGCTACTCTGCAGACTTATTATTTATTCTAGAACTTTGGAGTAGGTTTACTTCCGCATTAGAATACAGGACTTTAAAAATAACTTTTCTTGGCCAGGCCGGGCCTTGTTTAAGATTTACAAAGAAAATGTTCTTACCTTGGAACTTGCAAATTCATTTTGGATGCCTGAAAAATAACCCTCCAAGGCTAAAACAAAGCAATGCCTATTGAAAAGCATGTGAATACAGCAACTCATTAGTTTTGAACACAGGCATGATTATGAAGCTTCGATTATCAAGCTAATAAACGTTTAAAATGGCATCAATGACATACTAATATCACTATCCTATGCGTCATCATTTAGCATTCTTGAATGGGCAAATAGCCTGCTAGTCCGTTAGACCAATCAAGTCTTCTACTTAGGCTGTGAGTCATTCGAACGTCAATTACACTGCTCTTGATACAATAAGACAGTCCTTTAAACTCCAAAGGGAAACAATGAAATCGCCAGATCACTCTAGCA